GGGTGTTGCTGTCTCCTGGGGGAGGGGAAGAAAGAAGCCCTTGTGATGCCTGAATATGGCTGCTGCACTTTTGAATGTATAGCAATTAATGCGGAACATCCACCCCCCAGAAATAGCCTTGCCCACCTACCGCCCGAACACCACCTTCCCAATGGGATTCAGTCCGGGATACCCAGCCAGCCAGGAGGGTGGGATCAGTCTTTACTTACAGCCCATATCGCCCCTACATGAACTCTCCCATTGCTGGAAAATGCCTCTTTCACCCCTTAGCTGTTCTTTCTCCCTTCAAGACGTGGGTTCTGTCATATCCTCAGTAACAGCTGCTCCAGCAGTCTCAGGGACAAATGACCACCTCTCTGGACTGCCACTTCTCTTAGCTCACCTGAGCTAAGAGACACATAGGTGCATCAGGTCCCCACCCTGAGCCTCCCTATAAACTTGGCTCACCCGTGGCACCTGTATAACAAACAGCATCCAGCACCCAGAAAGGAGAGGTTTGTACTGCAAATTAATAATGGCTGAAGAGACAGGCTGCATATAGGTCTAAATTTCTAAATATTGGGAACAATTTCAAAGAAAGTAATTCAAACTATTTTCATTTCCTTTCTACACTTTTTTTTTACATTTTAAGTAGCCTGGGTTTGAAGGATGACATTCACAACTGAAAAGTTAATTGTTTGTATCATAACTCAGACAGTACAATGTGAAGAACTGTAATCATTTTTAAACAGTATATTTAATTTTCTAAACACGCTCCCCACCCTTGGAGGGTGGGTGTGCACGTGTTTTTAAGTTTCAATGGAATCACACCCTGAATGATACATTTTGTTGAGTGGAAATTCTGCCAGATTTCTGATTCCAAGATGATTCAGGGTGTGTGTGTAGGAGGAGGGCCTGAGGCGCTGAGGGAAAATATGAAATAACAGAGTGTGGAAACAAAGGGACATTCCAAGGGCGCGGTCCTGGGAAGGGGGGATCCGGGGCACATGTCCTCTTCTGTGGACGGTTCCCTCTCGTCTCCAGATGTCTCCACCTCACGCAGCTACCCAGATGTACAGGGAACACGTTTCTCATCCTCTCTCCCTTTCCTTTCCGAGTGAACTGGTATGAGTAGGAAGGTGCGTGCTACTTCAAGGGCAGTCTGGACACACGGCACCCTGCAGAAGTCTAATCTGGACACACGGCACCCTGCAGAAGTCTAATCTGGACACACGGCACCCTGCAGAAGTCTAATCTGTGCCTATAATCTCTCTGTCCAGCATCTTTAAGACAGGGTAAATCTCAATTGTAACATCAGTAGGAACCGAAGTTCCTCTCCATGAAACATTGTGCTGTTGACGGCTCACATTAGTGATTAAACTGCCCAGGAGCCCCCGCCCCCCCCCGACGGTGCCCAGGGACCCTCAGATGGAAATAAGCAAATGCAGTTTGAAATAAACGTTTAACATTCTCACTTCCTAAATCCGTCCCTCGATAAAGGCTGAATTTTCTTTGCTTTGTGACTTCATGATTTGTTCTTCACATTTCTGCAAATTGTCTCATCACTGTCACTTGCAACACGGTTTTTTAACTGGAAAAATATTATTTCAAGTATTGGGAAAATGTGGTAGGGAGGAGTCACAGAGCTATTCTGTGAACTCTTGTACTATGTAAACGTGATCTGCTCTCTCATTAATTACTCCAAAGTTATTATTAGAAAATAGAACAGAAAGCATGTCATTTTATGTGCTTTTCAATTTAATCATTAGTTCAAACAACTGGCAGGTTCAGTTCGTGTTTCTAGGGAAAGCCTGGCTTCCTGCCTTCTCATCTGCTCTGTCCTTGTTCATTAAAATCTGCCAGCTACCTCCATGGGGTGGGTAAAAAGGTGGACAGTCCCCGGATACTGATAGTCAGCAGCCTGTTCCTGGGGAGTCAATAGGCTCGTTTTTCTTTTGCTCTTTTCATTTAAAAAATAATCATCTACTGAAAGAGAAAGACTTTCTGCTGGGGAAAATACTTCATCGGACTTCATTAACCCAAGTAATAGGATTAGTGTTTAAGTGATTAAGAAGGTATACAAGCTTTTACTTAGAAGAAAAGAAAATCTAATTGAGATGGTGCTCATAGAATTCAAGACACTAATAATTAAGTGAATTAATTGTGGATGGTTTACTAGAGGGCTATGCAAATATCAGGCAGTATTATTATCGTAGGTATTGGATGCGACGTCTTGGTAAGTTTTGTGGGTGCACCAGGCCCTGCTAATCTAATGTAATACGCAACTGAAGTAAAACTACTCTACTCCACTTACTTGTATATTTCTATGAGTTCTCTGTATTGTTTCAGAAAACAAGTCATAATTCCTAGAACTTGCATTCCTGGTGAACGTCTGTTTCATCATGTTCAAGTCTGCCAACCAGCATAAGTCACCAGGAGCCACCGCAGAGTGCCACAGAAGCACCTCCGTGTTGCACACTTGACACTCTGGAATCTGCTCACGGCTTCCGAACTCTTACCCACTCACGACATGTCTGAAAAATTACACGTGGAGCGAAACATTTGGTAAAAAATATATTTAAAACAAGCAAGAAAAAATAGTTTGGGCCTTAAAGATAACTTTCACCATTCTTTTAACCAAGAATAGGTAAATGATATGTGTAATGATTTCAAGCACCAACTTATAAAAGATGTGACAAACGGGAAAACAAAGAACAAGAGGACTCTTTTTTTTTTTTTTCAGAAAAATGTATTTGCAATTCAAATGTTCATATAAAAAGCGTAAAGTTTAAAAAGTTCGTAGATGTTGGTTTGTTCGAAGCGCTAGGGTTTCTCCCTTCATTGCAATTACATTCTGAAATGTGCGCGGTGGTCCACGCTGCATCCTCTGGGCTTTGTCACACCGAAGTCACTCTCATCACAACCTCCCCGGAGCTGTTGTCCTCCGACAGATCCTCCTGGGGCCTCATCCGACTGAAGAGGTGCAGCAGCATGTAGCCACACTGGAACCTCGGGGAGCTCAGCTGCGTGGGGTGGACCAAGTTCCTGTTCCGCAGCGCTGTCAGCGGCAGCCACAAAGTCCTGCTCGTCAGAGACTCTCCCCGGCTGCTTTCTTCGATGTCTGTGGCTTTGTCATAATTTAATACATCCCAGTGCAAATTCACAGCTCGCCAGCGCTTAAAAACCCTGTAAACTGCGGCTCCTTCATGGACAATGAGGCCTAAAATGGGAGGGGAAACAGAAAAGAGACTGGTGATAATCAAAGGTCGGGAGTGTCGTTTTGTAGACAAGTAAGGGATTCAAGAAATGGTCAACTCTCTGTTAGTCGTCATCACTGAAGAATATGATATTCTGTCACCCAAATATTACGGCTGTTGGTAAGCTGCTATCGTACTACATAGGAATAATCCCTAAGCAAAGAATTAGGAGTCCACTAACATGCAAGGAGTTAAGCCATCACGGATCCGCAGGTAATTAGTTGTTCTGAGATGACTCAGGATATGCCTTGGTCATTTACATCGCCTTAGGAGGATCATTAGGTTTATTTACTGATTTAATAATACGTATTTTGTGGCTGCCCACTGTCTGCCAAGCTAGAGGCTTGGACTCAGCTGGCAACTTAATTTGGGAAAGAGACAGGAGGCAGCTAGTAAGAGGAAGTGCTTTACACACTCGAAAGCCCACCTGAGCCAGACTGGGCAAGGGGGAAGAGAGGACGGGACCAGATGCCAGAGGCAGGTGGTGACAGATAGTGTAGGGGGACTTTGCAAGGACACTGACTTCATTCCCAATGAGATGGGACCTCAGAAGAGGGTATCTGAGGAGTGACCTGACAATTTATGTCCTAAAACCACAGTGCTTCTGCTCTGTTGAGGCAGAGCATTGCAGATATCGAGGGTGCTGTCTCTCTGCTCCTGTAACAATGCCTGACCCACAGTGGGGACAATATGACTTATTTTTCATCTCCTCAACAATTTAGCAAAAATGCACTGAACAGCTACTTGAGAGCTTTCCTTAGACTATCTCCTGTGGTTCTCTGTAAGGAAATGGAGCCCTGAGGATGTTAAGGAATTTAATCAAGAGCACACACCCAGTGGTGGTGGGGCAGGGATATAACCTTGACCAGGCTGGTTCCAAGATCCTTGATCTTCACCACTAAGGAGGGAATCAGGCGCTTACACATTTCTGAGACACTCTTGGGACAGTAAGGTAATATGAGAAACTTGGGGATTATAAACTGGTGGCCCATGAGTTAGGTCTGATGCACTAGCACCTGGGCTGTCACTGTGCACCCCAGATCTACTAGAGGCCCCGCCTCGTCACAGATTTACAGTTCAGTGTGTAGCCCCAAAGCTTGTGAATTTGTGACCCTTCACACAGACCGAGTCCCTGTGAGAAGTGCCTCAGAGAGGGAAGTGAGGAGCCTTTCTTCTTTCAGGGGTTGAAATTCCACTGAAAGTCAGCGCAGAGGCCAAGGAAGAGCCTTTTCTTGGTGCCACAAAGCAGGTGAGCACAAGGAGTCAGTTGGCCCAGCCAGTGGTAAGTTTGAAAATGAGCATTTCCCACCTCCTAGTAACTCAACTGCGGGGTGAGTGCCCTAGAGAGACTCTCACAAAGTTTAAAAAGGAAGTGTGACCAAAAATGTTTATCACATAATTGTTTGTATTTGAGGAAACAATTGCAAGTGATCTTAATGTCCATCCTCAGAAGAAGAGGTAAACTGTAGTATTATTGGACTCCAGTGGGGAAGGAAAGAAAGAGATGAGACTGGGGGGATTCAAAGAGGGCTTTCGACTTTCATCTCCAATGTCGTGTCTTTCATACCGGGTGGCGAACATACGGGTGTTCCACATACTATTCTGAATGCTGTCTGTGCCTGAATAATTCAAAATTTCAAAAGGTACAGGGAGCTTATTAGGAAAGTTAATACAGGGTGGACTGAGGAAATCGTGAAGACAATTAAGGAGTCTGCCAACTGGCGTGTGAAGAGTGGAGTGGGAGCAGGAAGGGGAGCACAGAGGAACAAAGCAATGAACTCAGGGGAAACTGATGGAATTGCAGTGAACGGAAAAGGAGAAAAATTAAGGCTGATGGAACGGGTGGTGGGAAGGGTGTTAGTAACTTTCCCAGGGGTGCGGTGACTTAGAGGTTTTGAGAATGTTTTTCTTGAGGAGATTATTTCTTTTTTGTTGTTGTTCATTAAAACAATACTAGGTACTAGGTAGGTGATGGAGATACCCAGTCCTTAAAGAATCACATCTACCAAATTATCAAGACTCAAGTTCTGCTTTGCTCCCCCTACCAGGAGACAAACTTCTGATACATGTGACTTAGCATCTAAAAATACTGACAGAGGCCACTAAAAAATGTGTGTGGTCTAACAAATAAAAACTGGTCATATGCTACCAAAATAAGAAGTTTAAACTTCCATGAGTCAGAACAATTTCAAATAATTGTTTTAATCAACATTTTTTATCCTAAGAGAATATTCAAAGTTGACCTAACTGACCAGATGCTTCTGTGAAACAGCCAGAATCAAAATTCAAGACTACTAGATCTTAACTGGTGATTCTCTCACTAGCTTTCTGAATCTCCATGGCCAATGATTTAACCTTTTGGATTCGAGTGTTTCCTCCTTAAAATGAAATTGGAATACCTGGAATATCTTTACATCCGGCCAGATAGTATGAAGATAAATTGTAATTCATCAACTATAAAGCTCTCAGATTTCCTCTGAGATAGCAACTATATAAATACATTATTATTAATTAAAAAGTCAATAGTGAATCCATGTGGTGAGGACCATTCATTCACACTAATCACAAAACAATTATAGCCTGAGACAGGTTCATTCTGGGTAAATGCAGCCATGGGGTGGGGGTGGGGGGACCACTAATTTCACAGGATCCTATTTTCTTTATTGATTTCCTTTGCAAGGCCAGAAATCAGATCACTCAATCGAGCTTAAAGTCACTTTCTGGGAATGTATTTCTGGTAGCTCTTTTCTAAATACATAAATCTACCCAATGTGCAGAAATAAATCCCACAGGACTTTATGGTATATTTTGAACTAAATTTAAAGAGAGAGAGTTACTTGAAGTTTTTATGAAGACATAATCCTCTTAAATTTCCAGCTCCATGGGCTGTGGCTTCTTAATTACATTATGTTACAACTGACATTTCAATTTTGTTTTATTCTCCACAAGCATTTGCAAACTCCTTGGCCTCTAGAAGCCTAAATTTTACTGAAATGCAAGGAACACATCCCACTCCCAAGGTTGTTCTCGGCCCCGTGCACTCTGACCCTTTCTACTTTAAATGTTCTGTGGTGGCAGCAAATGTAACTGGTAGTTACAAAAGGCACAGTGGGAAGATGCCATTACCGTGACGATTCAAGGGTAAGGACCATTCAGCTCTGGCTCACTGTGCCAGAAATCCAGCTTCTAAGAGCAACACTGGTCTGCTTTCTTACTGATGATCAAATGAATCTGTGACCTTGACATCTCAGGTCATGTGACAGCAGACTTGGATTTACTCTTCCCTGAGTCACTAGGCCTACAATGAAAAGCAATGATCATTTTCATAAAATGTAAGTTTTAAATATTTTAGGGTGCTTGCTACATTCTTAATGGCACGAATGTCCACCGAGTGTGATTTATGGGCATTTGGGGTGTGGGTGTCGAGAAGTGCACGTGTGCACGTGTGGCTGGTTGGCTGGCTTTTGTCATTTTCTCGCCAATCACAGTTAATTGCAGCATCTTCTGACTGTACAAAGGGACATTTTTGTTAGGGAATAATCATGAAAAGCAAAGCAGACTTAAAATTTTTCTAGTTTCATTGACATAAAAGATAGTTTTGTGTAAATAAAATACATTCTAAATTTTGAAGTGGTGAGTTAGCTCGAGTTCTTTATGGTGGTGTAATCTGAGCTATTAAAAGAAATCATGAGATTACAACCAAGGTATGTATGGTCACCTGCTCCATGCCCCTGCATGTACACGTGAAAACATACACCATTTGTCTAAGTGGTATAATTAACATAGAGATGTGGTATAATTAATAGAAACTTGTAAAATTTACAGTCGAATACAAACAAATTTTATCTTAACATTAACCTCCAATCCACTGGTCAAGCAATCTCATCTCTTGTGTTACCAGTCTCAGTTTTTGTTTGCATAGGTTTGGTTGTTTTTCTTAATTTATCAAACTAATTAATTTATCTTGTAAGTTAATTTTCTTCATGTATAAGCTAAATTTTTACCAAGGATCTATTTTGTGCCAAGCACTGTGCTAAGAGCTTTACATGTATGATTTTAACTTAGTCTTGACAGAAACTCTAAAATCAGGTGCTATTACTGAAGAATTTTACAGTTGAGAAAATTGAGACCTAGGAAGAATTAACAACTTGTCCAACATCTTGAAGACGTAAGAATCAGAGCTGAAGTGGGAACCCAAATTTGTCTAATGCAAACCCTGAGTGCCACAGTCCTACCCATCCTGAATCTTCGAAGTATGGCAGCCTCTGCTAGCTAAAGAAGGTCTAGCTAAAGAGCTTGCTATGGACGAAATATCCGTGCCTCCCCCTGCCACCCAAATCCCTAAGTTGAAGCCCTCATGTCCTAGGTAATGGTACCTGGAGGTGAGACCTTTTGGGGGTAGTCAGGGTTACATGAGGTCATGAGGGTGGGCACCTCGGCATGGGGTGAAATCCCTTACAAAAAGAGGAAGGACATGAGAGCTCTTCCTCTCTGTGTGTGTCCACACACAAAAGAAAGGCCACATGTGCGTGTAAGGAGAAGACGCCATGTGTGAAGCAGGAAGAGGACTGTCCCCAGACACCACACGTGCTGCTGGTGCCCTGAACTTCCCAGTTCCAGACCTGAGGGAATGTGCGCCAGCCACTGAAGCCACCCAGGTCATGGTATTTTGGTGCAATATGGGGAAACTGACTAAAGCAGGTCTTGAGGGTAAACTATATCACCCTCATTTGAAATGAGTAAGTTGCAATTTGAGGGAACTTCATACAATTTAGTTGCCATCGGCAATGACCTGTGTGTCACTGACACGCTATGTCTCTAGGAGGAGCACCTGTGAGACAGCCACTTTCTCTGGACACCTACAATTGCCCTCAGCTTTCCCAGGGAATAGAGGTCCATGGTGTAACCTCAGAGGAACACAGCGTGAAGCTTCGTGTGCTGTTCAATCAAATGATCTTTCGGA